CAGATTTTATTTCCCCTCAAGGGAATGTCATGAGGATTTTTTATACCTCTTGTCTTATAAGCAATTCTATTTGCAGTACAGTTTATAGCCTTACATTCTTAAAATGTTGAGACACTTCTATCACCTTCATGAAAAGTGAATGAGGAATAGGTGATGATAAAAAAAAATGAGGCTGGGGAAAAAATTCTTTTTTGCTTGTTGTTAAACTCTAAAAGATGATATAAAAGATAATTTTACTAGCCTCTATAAAAAAGTGCAACGTGACACTTCATTAAAGAGAATATGGGAAATGTTACCTGATCCCTAAATAGACCTTTTATACTAATATTGTTTTATATTAACTCGCTTCTCTACGGAAAACTTTAACAGATGTAATGATCACACACTGATGTATTTAAGTTAATTTGGCAAATGTATTTCTGCTTCAAATGTTATTCTAGACTTTGCATGTGAGAGCGCTGTTATACCCAATCCCAATAAGTGTTCAGGAGAATAAAACTGTGCTGGCAACTCTTTCTGCTTTTGGATTTCAATTTTAAGTTAAAAAATTCTTTAAGTCCATCTTAATTTGGAGGAAAAAAATCACCCTTTAATTAAACTTCCATTCTTCAGCTTTAGGGTTAATTTTTATTTATGAAGAGAATACTAAGGACCCAATAATACAAGGACTCAATAAAAAAAGGCCTTTCCAAACGTGAGGCATGACTGTAGCTTTAAGAACTTTTCACATCACATACTTCACAAGTCTGGGCCAGATATTAGATAGCGGATGTTAGCAAATACTTGTGTCCAATTAGAACTGTGCTTACATCATTACATATTCAATAAGAATGTAGCCTGTTGCAAAGCTTCTCTTAGGAACACAAAGACTCCTATTATTTCTCTTCAGAACCACCACACTAGCCAGAAGGTCTCTTTCTACATTCCATAAGGCAGCCCAGAGAAACCATTAATACCTTTCAGCCAGGGCACAGATGGCTCCTTTTCACCCTTATTAGATCACAAAATAGTTGTGCATAACGATACTTCCATCTAACTTTACTGCCACAATAGAACCTAAAACTTGTTGGCTTAATGCCAGTTTAACTAAAGTTTCTTATGCTCCAACACGGTTACATTTTTAACTACAGGGCAGAATTGCGATTTTTGTGGCCTTGTAAAGTTAGCTAACTTAGCAAACAGCAATCTAACTCAACTTGTAACTGTTCGAAATCAGAATATCTATGTGTTCCAAAATTGAAACGGCAAAAAAAATTTTTTTGTAAGAAATTTGGAAACAAAGTAAAAATTTAAAGATTTATTTATGTCCTAAGGGACAGTTTAAATCCTCCAAGGGTTTTTTTATCTGGAGAGGCACCAATCTGGCCTTTCTGCCACTAGGGGGCCTTGCGCACAGACGTGTGAAGTTTTACATTATTTAGACTTGGGGTAATTAAGTTTTAGAATTGCCCGCGGCCGTGGGTTCGTGGGGGAGGGGGGGGGTCCGGTAGTTGCGAGTGGGAGAGGATTTACAAACCTGTCGGAAAGACTGGAGGGTGCCCTCGGCTTCCTCTCTCTGAAGCATCTCCTCCTGCAACCTGAAACAGTTGCACATTAACCAAAGGGGAACTGGGAAACCGCGAGGGGCGGGGCGGCCACACCCAACCACCGCGTCGCGGCTCCGCCAGACAAAAGTTGGTGCGCCACCTCTGCAGGCTGCCAGCGAGCGACTGCGGTGTGAGAACTGCCATTCTCCGCAAGTTTAGCGGGACTTGGACCGCGGCGCGGCAAAGCAATCACGGTCGCCGCACGGACCTGCCAGTAGAATGCCGCCCCTCCACCCCCGAGAAGCCTGGGCAGCCCTTTGTTTCTCTTGCTGCACAGCCATCCCTTCCTCCCACCTCCGCCCAGGGCTGGCAGCCCGCCAGAAGGGGCCAGGGAACTCCAAAAGTTTGCAGATGTCACGCTCACAGTTTGCAAGGGCCATCCACTCTAAAGTGGTAGTTTCAAGAAATCTGTAACTTGAAAAGGGCGCTCTTAGGCAATGAGGGGGAGGGGGAGAGGGGAAACGCTAGTTGCAACTGCTGGGCTCTGGGTGGGGCTGCGCCACCGCAAGCACAGCTCCCTCCCCGGCCACCCCCC